TCCACCCACGGGTCCTGTCTCCGTGCTTGAATAAAATCACCTTTTTGCACTGAACACATCTCTAGAATACTTTCTTGACCTTTTGCTCTAAACCCCCACATTTCCGCATCAAATATCACTGCTCACTTTTTTTTCTTCTGTAATACGAATTTTAAAAATACACAGCTCAATCATCTCCTCCTCCGGAAGGTCTTCTTTGAAGCTGTGGGATTGTGATTTATAATAAGAAATGCATACATTTGGCTTTTGTTCCTGCTTTTGGCAAAGAACTCCTAAAACCCCTTGGAATTTCCTAAGTGAAGAGAGCTATAAAGGTGTCTTTTGTTATGTTAATGAGGTGGCTTTGGGGAAAACACCTAAGGATCGGGGCCTGTGGGGTGGGGGGAAGTTGGATACCAACCAAGTGATTAGAGGGTTGGAACTTTCAAGGGGTGGGGGAGAGTGTCTAGAGGTTGAGTTCAATGGCCAGTGGCCAATGATTTAACCATTCCTATGTCAGGAAGCCTCCATAGAAACCCAAAAGGACAGGCTGGGAGAGCTTCTGGGTTGGGAGCATGTGGACATGTGAGTGTGGTGCCCCCTCCCCCTTCCTTGCCCTCTGTGTCTCTTCCATCTGGCTGTTCCTGAGTTATATCCTTATATAAGAAACCAATAACCTAGTAAGAAAACTGTTATGTTACTCTGAGTTCTGTGAGCTTTTCTAGCAACCTGCGAGGAGGGGTTGTGGAAACCTCTAATTTATGGTTACCTGGTCTTGCATTTGGTATCCTGAGCTGGAGGGGGTTGTTGGAACCTCCAATTTGTAGCGGGTTGTTCAGAAGCACAGCTAACAGCCTGGGCTTGCAAATGGCACCTGGTGTGGGGGGAGGGGGCAGTCTGGTAGGACTGAGCCCTCAACCCGAGGAATCTTGATGCTACCTCCAGATAGATAGATAGATAGATAGTGTCAGAATTGAACTGAATTCTCAAACACCCTCCTGGTGTCACACTGGAGATTGGATCCAAGAACCTAAAAGGAGCCCTTCCTGCGTGGGAGAGTCCCCTTGTCTGCTCTCAGCACCAATGTGTAACCCTTCAGCCACACTGCTACTGTATCTCAATTATCTGGTGACATATTGCAATAGACCGGAAGCTTCTAAAGGGTGGAAATTGCCTTTGGAACCTGCATCTCCCCTGCATATCAGTGTCTTGCATCCACTTGTTGCATGAATGAATCAAAGCACGAATGACTTCAACTCATGAGAGTACAACCTGAGCATACATGTCATAGCAATGGGATGAAAGTAAAATTCACTGGCCCATTCACATATTAAGTCTCTACTGTTCACAGAAATCTTGCGCTGAGCTAAAGCTGACATCAGCTTCCTTAGACATCTGTAGATAATCTGTCCCGCAGAAAGCTGCCACCTCCATCAGAGGGGTAGAAGTTGATGGAGATAGAGGTGATCATGGTGAAATCAAAAAATTATTCAAGATCTCTGTGCTGGGTCCTCGCTTTGTATCTGTTGCCCCACTGACTCTCCATCACCCTGTAAAATTCTTACTATTGAATGAATTAATATATGCAAACAGTATTTGACACATAGAAAGGCACCCAACCAAACTCCCTGGCATCATAGAATTCTACCTTCTTGGGACAACCGAATGCAGAGGTAATATAACCAAGATCATTTTTTTCCTCATATCCAAGGTAGACAGCTCCCTCCAGGACCAGAGTGTCACCAGCTACCCCTCCACCCCCTCTTTCCGTTGATCTTGGCAGGATGGTCTCTGTAGGAGGCAATGGAAGATACAAGGAGCCATGGGACATACATCAGGCCACTCTTTCCCTGAACGCAGAATTCTTTCTGAGAAGGTTCTGGTTTAGAGTCCAAAGCCGAGGTTACGCACTGACTTTCTGTCCTCCAACTGGTAAGGAGTGAAATCTCAAAACAGGTAAGGGTCAGGATTGTGAAAACTCGCTAGAACACAAAAGGAACTTTTACGACCGAGTAGGTCAGGTTACCATCTTGTAAGCAGTTAAAAGATGGATGCAGGTGGAGCACAGAGAGGTCTCGGGGGCATGTCTCAGAAGCCAGAGACTGGTGTAAATGTTCCCAGAGGTCCTGACAGAGATAAGACCAGTATTCCCAAGAAGACACAGCCCCCAGGGCAAGGATCCCGGCACAGAGGACGGCAGCCTTCTTGCAAAAAAGATGCTTTGGAAGAAGCAAAGACAGGATGTTTAGCATCATCCCTGGCCTCTCCCCACCAGATGTCAGTAGCCCCTGCCCTCCTGGTTGTGACAACCAAAAATCTCTCCAGACACCGCCAGTGTCCCCCAGAGGGCAAAAATCACACCGAGTTGAGAACCACTATTTTGGAGGTATTTTTTAATTTAATCTAGATTTCACAACTACTCGATCACACATTTGTTCTCACATTATAGATGAGAACCTGGAGGCTTAAAGAGGTTATCTCACTTATCCAGGAAGTGGCAGAGGTGGGATTTGTACCCAGGCTCTCGGGCAACAGTGTGGGTATTGTTAACTGCTTTCTGTGTTGCTTCTTTCTCATCCGAATATAGGGAACCACTTAGACTCCAGGATGGGGAAGACCCATCACCCAGGGGCAAGGAGCGGAGGGCAGCATGAAGAACCCAGATGGGACTCCGGCCTCAAATTCCCTCTTCTTGTCTGCACTGGTTCCCACCAAGAGGACATCTGAGTAACAGGAGACTGGCCTGTGCATGTGCCAGAGCTGATGGTTAGGTCCAGGCTGGGACCCATTGCCACCATTTGCATCCAGGACAGCATGCAGATGTGGATAGAGAAGGTGAATCGGCAGCCAGGAGTCTACTGTCAAGAGTGAGTGGGTCCCTGTGTAGGCCCCTGTGTCTGGCCTTGACACTCCCAGAAGCTGGGAAGGGCTCATTCACCGGCTCAAACTGCCCACCTGGGGGTAGCCCTGGGAATATCAAGTGACAGGCTGGACAAGAAGAAACCCAGGGCTGCCCCACCTGCCTGGACCCCATCACCTTCCTTTTGCGAGGAGGCCACCCAGTAACTGGGAAGAAAGGTGACCGTTCCTTGAGGCTCAGGGGAAACATGAACAAATCTTTCCTCTTTTCCAAGAGATGAGTCCCCGGCACACAGGATGCGCACAATACAAGATGGCGGTGACTAAGGTCCTTTGGGATCTTGGAGTGTCTCAGCCCCAAGGCGAGGAGGGAAAGAGCACAGGGTACAGATGCGGGAAAACATGGATTGGGTCCAAGGTGGAGGGAGAGGTGAGTGAGGAAAGGATTTCCCCCAACTCTGGAATGTTTTAAAGAATTACTCTTGGGGGAGATGGAAGCTCAGAAAGGTTAAATGTCTGGCCCAAGAACACACAGCCTGTGAGGGCTAGATTTAGATTTCTTTTCATCTCTGCCAGGGATTAAGGGAGACTTGTCCAGCATTTCAGTCAAAAGTCCTGGAGGGTGTCTGGATTGATTCCAGGGGAATCCCTGCCCTGAGAGGTGTTCCAGGTACTATGGAAATGACGGGGCGGTGGGGAGGGGTGTACAGGAGACCAGCACTCCCCGGGACAGGGGCAGGAGTTTACCCTGCTCGAACAGCACCCTGGCTTCGGACTTGGGAGTGAGCTTCGGGGACAAAAGTTGTTAAACAAGCCTCTGTTTGTGGCTACGTGCTTGGGGACAACTCAGGGGGACACGCTCCATTGGATCGGAGGTAGTGGGGTTGTCCCAACCCGTACAAAGCCGCCCACTATTCAGATCATTGTGTGGATGCCTCAAAATGACATCTAACCACAAAGCTCTTCCCGGGGCCAGAGCTGGGCCTCCGTGACTCAGGGCTGGGGGGCTGGGGAGCCTTCCCCACCTGCTCTGGGAGCTGCAGCCTGGCCTGGGTGAGGAAAGGGCAGGGCGGCTCCCAGGCTGCCACTGTCCAGGGTCTCATGCCCTTCCACGAGGGGGAAGCCCCTCTCAACTGCCCTTGGTGGCCTCCGTTTCCCAGCGAAACATTGAGGATAGTCCTTTCTCCTGGGACGAGTAAAGGAACAAGTACTTAAGCACCTGGCAGATGGTAGATGCCCCCTTCTCCAAGTCTCCCTTATGTCTTGCATACCCCAAGAGGTTTGGCTAGAGAGCCCAGACTGGAGTAAAATAGTCCAGGGGGCTGGACAGCCCAGGAGCCACAGGTAGGGAATCGTGGACCTTCTCTCTGTACAGGAGAGAGTCTGGTCTCTCCCCACAGCATGCAAACACATTGAGCTGGACCCCTGCCTCTCCCTAAGGCCGGTGGGTTTCCTCTAGGCAACGAGGTCCAAGCAAATCCCCCCCAAATGACCAACAGGCCCGCAAAGTCCCCTTTGGGATCTAAGAACACACCTCCCCTAAACCTCACAGGCTGCCTTTCGGTTTCCACCCCTCCCCTGTGGCTTCCCCTATGGTGCAGCCCAAATACGCTCACATCACACTGACCTAACCCAGACACACTAACCCTGCGCACACAGATCTCCCTGCCTGGACGGCCCTTCCCTCTCTTCCACCGATCCTGCCTGAAGAAATCCCTGCCAACCCCAAGGCCAGCCCACTGTTTGGGCAGACTCCCGGCTGTCGGTGCTCCTGCTCAGCCTCGCGCCCCTTGTGAGCGGGTGGCCGCCCGCCTGGCCTGCCGGCCAGGAGCTCCTGGAAGCCCGGCACTGTGACGGGCTCATTTCCCACCCGAGAGCTAGGCACAGGTGCTGGGAGCAGAGGTGTCAAGGGAAACAACCCCAAGGCGGTGAGGAAGCCCCGCAGGAAGGAATGAACGATCCCGGCGGATAGTTCCTTCATGGCGCAGCGGTGTTGTGAATTTGCCTGGCAATTGGGAAGACGCAGCCTCATCAGGCCAGCAGTGGCCTCGGACTTTGCCAGAAAGCTGAAGACCTCCTGGGTGCCCGTGGGGGCTGGGGAAGCCTGAGGCACTTGTCCCTCTGTCCCTCTCCTCGACTGGCCCCAGCCCAGCCCCACTTACCTGGCCCACAGATGAGGAGGAGGCTCAGAGCCAGAGGTAGCAGGTGCCCGCGCTGGCGGCCCGGGTATCCGGGGCCCTCCCAGCCCATGCTCCTGCCTGGCCGCCCGGGGCTGTGCTCCTCACCCCCTGCACGAGTCCCGGTGACTGAACCCAGCCCAGCGGGGCCCTGGCTCCTGGGAGGGTGGTGAGGACACGCCTTGCTGAGCTTCCCTAGAGGGGCAGGGCCTGCCTTGGAGGAAGCAGTGGTTCGCTGCCGGCAAAGGTCAGCCGGCATTTCTCATGCCCCTGTAGTGACTAACACCTGCAAACCGATACCCTCTGTGAGGAGGGGCGGGAGGGGACAGCCACCCCCCAGCCAAGCCTGGCTCCCGGGGGTGTCAAACCGAGAGACCCCCGTGGGTCCATCTGGGCTGAAGGGAGGACAGGGACCCAGGGCAGGGACCCGTCCCATTCTCTGAAGCCCCTGACCTGTACCGGACGCCTTCCTGCTCAGGGGCTGGCACCACCAGACTGGAGCTGGGTGGACCCTCCCTGGGGGAGGCACGTCTGGCTCTGGGCGTTTTGGAATGTGCGGGAGTGGACAGGAGACTGCATTCCCAGGTGGGGACTGCCCGGCTGCCGGGGGGAGCCGAGCGCTGGGCCTGTTGTACCTTTCCACCTCATCCCTCCCAGCCCCCCTCCCCCCGCCCCGCCCCACATGGCGCTCCTGGGGTCTGCAATCCCTCATTCCTAAGCCAAACCCTTCAGCCGTCCCTGCCAGGGGCAGAGAGGGGCATGAGGGGCTGGCAAGGGGTGCAGGAGCGGATTTGGGATCCTGCCTCCTCCTTGAAAACTGCAGCTTCCACAGGCTTCTTATCACCCCGGGCTTGGGCTATACAACAGAAAGTTCATCTCCCCTGTCACCCGCCCAGTGCAGATGGCCAGAACAATCCTCCTTAGGTGCCACACTCCTCAGTGACAGCCCCCACTCCTCCTTTGTCTTGCACTTGGGAGCCCCCACCCCTCCCACCCACCCGCCCCACCCCTCAAGCCTCTAACAGCCTGACAGGTGGGTTTATCTTCACCTCCAGGAGAAGGCACCTGCAGGAGCCCGGTGTGAAGCTGGGGGGCAGTGGACGCCCTACAGGGCCTCACACCTCTCCAGCATCTTTTTTTTAAAAGATTTTTTATTTATTCATTTGAGAGAGGGCGAGAGAGAGAACAAGCAGGGGGAGCGGCCGAGGGAGAAGCAGACTCCCCGCTGAGCAGGGAGCTGGAAGCAGGACTCCATCCCAGGACCTGGAGACCGTGACCTAAGCAGAAGGCAGACGCTTAACCATCTGAGCCATCCAGGCGCCCCTCTCCTGCATCGTATATCCAGAGCCAAACTCCATGAACCCGGGGTCAAGGCAAGCTTGTCAGAAACCCCCAGGTCCTTCCACGCTCAGTGTAACTTCCTGCTAACCCAATCTCCTGTCTTCTCGCCCTGCTCCCATTCACACACTCCTAGGACAGATGCACCCCGAGCCCCAGCTCTGCTCTGGGCATGCAGCCTGGCCGAAGATGGACAACAAACAAAACACAGGTGATCAAGCTGGAGTGGCAGAAACATAGAGGTTGAGAGGAGACACCCATCTCAGACCGGGAGGGGGCAGGGAATCAGGGAAGTCTTCCTGAAGGAAGTGCCACATACACCAAGACCTGAAGGTTAAGCTGGATCAGCTGGGCCAGGCAAGGTCGAGAGAGGGGAAGGGAGTGGTCCAGAGAAAAGACACAGGGTTAGCAAAGACTGGAGGCAGCGGGAAGGGGGAGATGCGGTCTGGCCCTTGTCCCAACACCCACTCAGATTTCTCTACTCTGAGGCACCCCTTCCCTTCTTTAAGAAAACAATCCTGGAGAAACAGAGGCTGAGCTGGTGGGTCCTGTTGGACGGTGATCACCGTATGCACTCCCCCCACCTCACAGAGGGGGAAACAGGGCACCCCAAAGCATCAGATTAGTGACACAGCTGGGACCACACCCCAGACCCCTGGATTCCCCAAACCCTTCTCATTTAAGCAATTCAAATTTTCAGGGCGCCTGGGCATCTCAGTCTATTAAGTGTCTGCCTTCGGCTCAGGTCATGATCCCAGCGTCCTGGGATCGAGTCCTACATCGGGCTCCTTGCTCAGCGGGGAGCCTGCTTCTCCCTCTGCCTGCCCCTCCCCTTGCTTGTGCTCTCTCTCTCTCTCTCTCTTTGGCAAATAAATAAATAAAATATTTTTTAAAAAGCAACTCAAATTTTCTTGCCCTAGAACGTGACAACAAGCACCCCTGCCAGGTCCAGGAGGTGCCCTGCTCTCCAGGGAGCACACGGGGGTAAGTGGGTTCAGGTTCACACTGGGTGATCACAGCTACTGTATACTGGATACCTAGCTATGGGTGGGCACGGCTTCCAGTCATCACCAGCATGCTGAAGCTAGGTCTTACCCTCACAGCCATTCTATAAGGTGACTGCTATTCGTTGCTCCATGGCACCCAAAGTTGCTCAGCTAGCCCAGAGCAGAGCTAGGATTTGAACTCAGCTTTGATCTAGAACAGTGCTTCTGATCCAGGGGTGATTTCTTCCCCCACAGGATGGTGGACGATGTCTGGAGTCATTTTTCTTTGTCATGACAGGAGAGGGGAGGGCAGGGATGCTGGTGGACACCCTAGAGTGCCCAGGACAGCCCCTTGTGTGATAATGTTCAGGTTCTATGCCCAGGCCACCTGAAGGGGCCACCCACGGTGAGCCACATGTGGCTCTGGAGCCCTTGAAAGGTGGCTAGTGTTGGGGCGCCTGGGTGGCTCAGTCAGTTAAGTGTCTGCCTTCAGCTCAGGTCATGATCCCAGGGTCCTGGGATTGAGCCCTGCATCAGGTTCCCTGCTGGGGGGGGGGGGGAGTTTGCTTCTCCCTCTGCTTGCCGCTCCCCCTGCTTGTGCTCTGTCTCTCTCTGTCAAATAAATAAATAAAATCTTTAAAAAAAAGAAAACGAAAAAGAAAAAAAGAAAGGTGGCTTGTACAACTGAGGATCTCAATTTCTAATTTTGTTTCATCTTAATTTACAAAGCCAACCCTCCATTTAGTCCGTGGAAACTCTGCAAGTAGGCTAACCACAGCTCGGGTGTGTGCACGTCCTTCTCCGACCGGAATTTTATGAAACGTCAATGCCGATCAAGTAGTTCAGGTGAAAAACCTAGCATCCGAAATGAGATGCGCTGTTGTTGGAAATGCACCCTGGATTTCAAAGACAGAGTGTGGGGAAAAGAACATAAACCATCTCCTTGGTCATTTTCATAGTGGATACTTACGAAAATGATAAATATTTGGATATATTGGGTTAAATAAAACATCTGATGAAAATTAGTTGCACCTGATGTCTTTTTACTCTCTTAACTGGGCTACTGGGAAATCTACAATTTCATACGTGACTTGAGGTCCCTTCCTATTGGATACTGCCGGTCTGGGATCTGAGTGCTCCCCGCTACAAATAATCTTAATTGTTTAGGATAATTATATTATTATTGTTTAATTGTGGAATCTTAATCATCTTAACTATAAATACCTTCACCTCTCTTTGCTCCGGCTTGGCAGTTCCTGCACTAATGACAGGGAAGGGGTGGGATCCACGGTCCCCTCTCTGCCGCTGAGGGTGTTTAAGATAGGTCAGCTGGACCACCTGGGAATTAGGGATGACAGGGCGGGTCTCCGGGTGCTCTCCTCTCTCAGAGGTCTGCCTGTCCTTCTGCAGGTGTGTGAAGAAAATGGTGGAATCAGAGCAGAAGTGAAACAGCCTCTGGCTCCTGGTCCAGAACAACTGGGCCGAAAGAGGGAAGGAAGCTAGCGGCAGAGACAGAGGGGTCACGCTCAGAGAAGTGGGAGAAGAAACCCACAGTGTCATCACGGAACCAGCAGAAGGAGTGGGTTTCTAGGCCAAGAGAGAACCCCCCCCCCGCCACACACACACACACACACACACACACACACACAAAAGTCATAAAAAAGGCAGAGGTAGAGAAAGTTCAAGCAGGAACTGTCAGGTGATGTCTGAGCAGGGAGTTTCTGTGCAGAAGAATGCCAGGCTGTCCAACAATGATAATGTTTGCTGACCACGTACCGTACGCCAGGCATCAGGGAACCAGGAAGAGGGTCCAGGAGCTAAGAGTGCTGACATGAAACCACAGCACTAACAAGTGGCATTTACACAATGTATCCTCTGAGCCCCACCCTTCATGACTGTAACGGTTCACTGGGTTCTCATGGAGTCTCTAGGAGGTGAGGTGGTCATCAACCCCTTGCACAGAGGAAGGGACTGAGGTACAAAGACCATGCAGTGGGAGGCGCCGTATACTTCCATTCACAACAGGTTCACGAATAGGCAAGACTCATGGATGGGGATGGAAATCGGAATAACGTTCTGGGGATGGGAATAGTGCCTAGAAAAGGGTCATGAGGGAAACTTCTAGAGCAGTGGTTCTCAATCAGGGGCAGTTATGCCTCCCACCCAGGGGACATTTGGCAATGTCTGGAGACCTTTGGCTATCAAACCAGAGGTATTCACACAGAGGACATCCAAATGGCCAACAGGTACGTGAAAAGGTGTTCAAGGGACACTCATCATCAGGGAAATCATCATCAGGGAAATGCAAATCACAACCACGATGAGATATCACCTCACACCTGCTGGGATGGCTGTTACCAAAAAGACAGGAGATAACAACTGTTGGTGAGGATGTCGGGAAAAGGGAGCTCTTGCACTCTGTTGGTGGGAATGTGCTTTGGTGCAGCCACTATGGAGAACTGTAGAACAGCCAGAACTCCAAATCAAAGGGAAAATATGCACCCCCTATGTTCATTGCAACATTATTTACAATAGCCAAGAGATGGAAGCATGCCAGTCCATCAACATATGAACAGATAAAGATGTGGTATCATATATATATATATGATGGAATATTACTCAGCCATCAAAAAGAAACGAAATCTTGCCATTTGCAATGACACAGATGGAGCTAGAGAGTATAATTCTAAGTGAAATAAGTCAGAGAAAGACAAATACCATATGATCTCACTCCTCTGTGGAATTTAAGAAACAGAACAAGCAAAAGGGAAAAAAATAAG